CCAAAAAAAAAAAAAAAAAAAAAAAAAGAAATGGCAGACCATTAATTTAGAGGTTGAACATATGGTTTTTGGTATTCAAGTATCTTCTTGCAACTGACCTCTTCCTCCTATTAGTTATGTAACCTGGACACATTACTGACCTGTCTGTGCCACAGATTTCTCATCTGTCCAATGGGAATGACAGTCCCAATACTGTAGAATTTCACTAGTTAGTGTGAGAATTTCTGGGGGTTGTACCAGGCACAGAACCTGGGTTTGGTGACTGGGCAGTGACCTAGCGCCTAGCCAAGTATCTAACCTAGAACAGGGGCTCATTCAAGGTTTGAGTGAAAAACTATATACTCTCTCAGAGGTCTTCTTGTTCTCAAATCCTGTGATTCTCCAAATAATGTATCCAGTGGTAGAAAAGAGCTAGTGAATATTTGCTGGGGAAAGCCTTGACGTGGAAGCCTTGAAGCTATAGAGAAAAGGGTTATCAAACTAGGTGGACCCCTTGAGGACAGGGACCATGTCTATTTGGTACCTGCATCTTCAGTTCTCAGGAGGTTAGCTGAATGACTGTGTGACCTAAAAGGGTCTTTCACACTGGGGTTCATACCTGGTAGATGTGCTTGACTTGCTGGATCTTGGGACCTTTGGGGGTGAAACTGACATAGAGTGTGGAGTTTTCCTGGCTATGGAGAAAGAAGAGCAGAGATGGGAGGTTGAAGGGGCAGCAACCCCGACTCCAGGAAGCCTCTGAGTTGCCAGTCATTTTGTTAGGGACTACACAGACATGATCTCATTCAGTTCTTACAATGACCTGCTGTGTCCCTTTGGAAACTAAGGCTCCTGGAAGGGGTCAGCCTGTTGCCCAAAACCCCACAATGGATGAACAGGACTAGAGCCCAGAATGGCATGCCTTGGGGTGGGGATGGGATCCTTCCCACTGTGTGCCACCTCACCAGTGTTCTACTGTCCTGTGGTCCCTGCTCATCTCCTGGATAACCTGACTTTCTCTCCCACCTCATCCTTCAAAAGCACACTACTGACTGACCATCCTAACATCACTCTGATCCTGTAACTCACCTGCTTAGAATCTGTCAGTGGCTCCCTGCTGCTCATGAGGGTCCAAAGCCCCCATGTCCAGGCTGCCTCCTTACCACCCCCCTGCACACACCTTCCCTCAGTCAAGCCTCCCCAGGTCTGCCCCACTACCTCCTGTCTCCTTGACTTCACCTGTGCCATGCTCTGATGGGAATGCCCAGCTCCATCCCGGCCCTTATCTTAATGCCCCCCAGCCTCCAGACACCATTCCAAGCCCCACCTTCTCCATGAACCTTCTGTCTCTCCCTCAATCCACACTGATTTTTCCTGGCTCTGATTTCCTATCAGCATCATTCTGTTTGGCATTTATGTTCAAAGCACTGGAGATCTGGGCTCAGATATTGTCCCTGTCTTAGACCCAACTGGAAAAAGCCACTCTACTTTTCTAGTTTCCTTGTCTATAAATGAGGAAACCCAGCCAGCAATTCCCATAGGTTCTTCCTACCACAACATCTGAGGTTCACTGATTCTCTGCATGCAAGAGTTGGTCTCTCCAACTCCCTGAAGGCATTGTGCTAATATTTCTCCTTTTCTTCTAGCACTGCTGGCCACTAGAAAGGGAGAGCCTTGCAGGACTGAAGCAATCAAGAGCTTGGCTATGGCTTTGGAGTCAAGCTTAAGTTCAGACCCTGGCTTCAGTACTTCTAGCTGTGCAACCTTGGGCAAGTACTTGCCTTTTCCGAGCCTCAGTCTATTCATTGGTAAAATGGACAGAGGCACAGCTGTCTCACAGAGGTGTTGAAGGCTCCAGGGAAAGCCAGCAACTGTGTAGTCTAGCTGGCTTGAGTTGGACATGAGGTTAGCATTCAATGAGCTTTTGCTCCTATCATTAAAATCTGATCCTACTCAGAGCTCTTAAAGGACTCTCATTCTTTTGAGTGTTAAAATCTGTTGTGGTTGTGGCTGAAATCAGTTCTAACTTCCCCTGGGGAGCCTAGGAAAGGAAAGATGCTCAGAAGGAGGACTCTGGGAAGCACAGTCGGGGCACTGGGTCGGGAGGCTGAGGTGGGAAGAGAGACTTGGCCATCTGCTGGGGAGGACTCACTCCTCGATGAGCAGGTTGATGGGGTACAGGACTGGGATGCTGGTGGTGGCTGAGTTGTCCTCCAGGAGGCCTGAGTCCTCATTGTCACTGTATGGGGGAAGGCAGAGGCAGTGTTAGGAGAAGTGCTTGGCCAGGTCTGTGTGGAGGTCTGAGATCGGGGCGGGGATGCCGGTGAGACCTGCTTGGGGCCTGCTCACCAGTTCACATTGGCACGCAGCTTGACAAAGTCCTCCCAGGAGCTGTTCAGCAAGGTATTAAACATCACCTGGATAGCAACCTGGCAGGAAAGGAGAGGGGAATGAAGAATGAAGGGACCTCAGGGACAGCCTTAGCACCTCATGGCCACCACCCCGAATCCATCATAGGAATCCACCTGAAGCACTGGACTAGGTGTTTATCCTCATTGCACAGATGAGGAGTCTGAGGCTCCAAGTGGTTGTCATGTGTATATAAGGACACTAAATGAATAACCCAGTCCCAGGTTTGTCTGATTCCAAAGTCCAGGCTCTCAAACATGACACAAAACAACTTCTCATCCATTCCTCTCGAGGCAGGGACTGGATAAGCTCCTTTCCCCAGAGCCAAGAGCTCCCTCCCCTCTGCCAACTCATAGCTCCTTGGCTGTTCCGTTGCTAGGGATTTGAAGCACTCACCGAGCTGCCTGCCTTAAAGATGGGAGAGCTCACATTGCAAGAGAGATTCCTGGGCAGAAGCTCAGACTCATCAGGAAGCTCCTCGCAGCTCACAGGTATCTGGCTGTGGGGCTGAGAGTGAAAAGGAAGAGAACAAGCTCGTTGGTGGGCAAGGCGAAGGGTCCTCCGGAGGCCATCAACCCTCAGGGCCCGCCTCCTCCAGGGCAAAGCATCAGGCAAACCGAGAGAGGTTTAGTCACTGCAGCATTATTTATAATAGTGAAGAACTGGAAGTGATCAAACAGGTTCAAAGAGAAAAGAAAGGCTCAGTAAACCCTAGTACAATCAAAGGACAGAAAATTGTGAGGTTGTTAAAATGCTGATATGTCTCCTATACATTCAGCAACTCTTTTTTTTTTTTTTTTTTTTTCAGTCAGAGTTTCACTCTGTCTTCCAGGCTGGAGCCACCGCAGCCGCGACCTGCAGGGCTCAGGCAATCTTCCACCTCAGCCATCCAAGTAGCTGGAACTATAAGCATGTGACACCACGCCCAGCTAATTTTTTGATTTATTGTAGAGATGACGTCTCGCCAAGTTGTCCAGGCTGGTCTTGAACCCGTGGGCTCAGGCAATCCTCTCACCTCGGCCTCCCAAAGTGTTGGGATGATAGGTGTGAGCCACTGTGCCCAGCTCAGCAACCACTTAAAAAATAAAAAAATGACCTGGGCCAAGCATTATTATCAAAGAGAAACCATTTGTCTTCATCACAGTCTTGTGAAGGACAAATAGACTCAGGGAGTTTCAGTGACTTCTCCAAGGTCTCACAACTGGGTAACAGCAAAGACCCAATAAGAACTTGAATGCCTTGAATGCCAAAAAAGAACTTGAATGCAGGACTGGTCTTCAAGTCTTTTTCATACTCCATTTCATGTGACCTTCTCCCTTAGCCTGTGGGTGGCCCCATATATATATAATTTATTTATTTGTTTAGTCAGGGTTTCACTGTCACTCAGGCTGGAGTGCAGTGGCACACTCATAGTTCGCTGCAGTCTCAAACTCCTGGGCTTAAGACTTCCACTTCAGCCTCCCAAGTAGCTGGGACTATAGGCACACGCCACCACGTCTGGCTAATTAAAAAAAAATTTTTTTTTTTGTAGAGATAAGATCTTGCTATGTTGCTCAGGTCTCAAACTCCCGGCCTCAAGCAATCCTTCTGTCTCAGTCTCCCAAAGTGCTGGGATTATAGGCATGAGCCACCATGCCTGACCTCAAGTCCTTTCTTTTTTTTTTGAGTTGGAGTCTCACTCCGTCGCCCAAGCTGGAGTGCAGTGGCACGCTCACAGCCACCTCAGCATCGACCTGCTGGGCTCCGGCGACCCTTCCGCCTCAGCCTTCCAAGTAGCTGGAACTATAG